TTCGTTACACACGCGCTTACCCTCATCAGCATCACGCCTCTGTGGGAGCTGCCTCCCCTTCCAAGGAGGTTACGACCACCTTGGGGCTGGGAGCCCAGGTCCCATTTCCCACGCTGCCCAGAAACATGCTGAGTCAGGGTGTTCAGTCCCTAAATGTAGGTTAGACTAGAATGAGCTTCAGACTCGATGACAGGAGTTATAAATATCCTTGTTTCACAAAACTTAGGAAAACTGAAGCCCCAGGAGGGCACTTACTGGCCAAGGGTCAGTGACTGAGTGAGTGGCGGGGCTACAGACTTCACTACCCATCTCCTGACTGTGAGTCCAGGGTCCTCAGCTAGCGCCACCTCTCCTTAATAAAGGTGAAATTTGGACAAGTGGGAAGCTACATCCAACTACCTCATTAGTTAATGCTATCAAATACCTAAACAAGTGATGGATTGAATAGTTATTTACTTGACCCAACATAGAACTCTGACAAAGAGACTCCCTTAGACAGCAAGACCATGTACCGCATGAGATCAGATTCATTTCACAAAACATCGTGGGACTGCATTCATGCTTCCTGGACCAGTCCTACAGACTACCTGTATGATGTAGATGTTTAGGGTAGGGGATCAGCAAACTGTAAGGTCACTGGTGAAATCTGGACCAGCAACCACTTTTGGAAATAAAGTTTAATTAGGACACAAGCACATTCATTCCTTTATGTGTTGTCTGTGGCAGCTTTCAAGGTACAGCGGGAGCGCTAAGTAGTTCCAACGATGACTGTATATTCTGCAAAGCTGAAAATGTTTAAGCTTCACCATTTACAGACAAAGGTTGCTGACTCTTGATTCAGGAAATCCCACCATCTAACATGTTTATATTTTGATACAATGTAAGCTGCGTGAGGGCAGGGCTTTTAAAAATTGGTTTCTGTATATTTTGATACAATGTAAGCTGCGCGAGGGCAGGGCTTTTAAAAATTGGTTTCTGTCACCATAGCCTAGAACATGGCCAGACACACAGTTGGTGCTTGACAAAGAGTTGAGATATTGCGGGAGAGAGGGAAGAAAGTAGGGAGAAAGGGTTTGCTAGGACATGTCAGAAAAAGCACAGTGTTGGGGCACAGGAGAGGCTAGAAAAGGCAGTAAGTAGAGAGAAGGAAACCATGGGAGATGCAGAAGGGAACAAAAAACAAGATGGAGAATGTGTGGCAAAAAACCACTGCAATATTGTAAAGTAATTAGCCTCCAATTAAAATAAATTAATTAATTTAAAAAATGACGGAGGAATGAGAAGAATGCAGTGAAAGACGACAGAGGAGAGAAGAGAGGAAAGGGGAGAGGGGAAAAAAAAGAGATGAAAAGAAACAAACAGGCAAACAGATCCAGAACACAGACGAGGCGGAGGAGGAGGAGAAAGATTGGCCACGAGCAACAGTAGGGAGGAGAGGGACAGAGCAGCGTCGGCTCTGACCCGGAAGGAAGGTGCGTATGTTTCGGGGCAGGGCTGGGGAGAGGCGGGCAGTGCATCACAGCCCTGGCGTTCTCGCCATCTGGGACACACAGCCCAGATGTATGAAGTATATGGAGTGTATGGAGCCCCGGGGCCATATTCTTTATCTCAAGTCCTGTGGCTTGCTTTTGATTTTCTTCTTGAACTCCGATTTACAGATAGGGACACACTCAATGAAGGATGTCTTCCCAGTTAGCTGTAAATAGCCCAGTTCTTTGGAGAAGACTCATTGACATCCCCAGCCCCAGTTTTGGCTGTCGTACTGGGGGAGGGAGAAGACAGGTCAAGAATCACCCATCACCAGCTGCTTAATCTCCACTGCAGCAGATCCCAGAGGGCTGAGGCAGGGGAAGAGTGAGGGGAAGTGTATCTAGTGTCTGCAGAGTCCGAGATGCCTCCACAGGTGCTGTGTCTAGGCAGGCACCCCCCTTAGGGGGCCGTTTCAGTGACAAGCGCAGGGGTTAGGAGATACAGAAAACAACAATGAGAACGGCACTGGCATTATAACGCCCACCTTTCATGGCTAAACACTCCACTGCGTCTGTGTGTGTATTTTCATACATACACACACAACACATCTTCTTTATCCACTCCTCTGCTGATGGGCATTTATGCTGCTTCCATGTCATGGCTATCGGAAATAGTGCTGATACGAACATTGGGGTATACTTATCTTTTCAGGTTATAGTTTTCTCCAGATACATGCCCAGGAGGGGGATGGCTGGATCATAAATTGCTAGGCCCTCAGTCGTGTCTGACTCTGTGATCCTATGGATGGTAGCCTGCCAGACGCCTCTGCCCATGGGATTCTCCAGGCTGGATCATATGATAGTCCTATTTTTAGTAGGAGGGATAAATTCGGAGATGGGGGTTGACATATACACACTACTGTATGCAATACAGAAGAATAATAAGAGCCTCCTATACAGCACAGAGAATTCTATCAATTCTCTGTAACGACCTACTCGGGAATAGTGTCTGAAAAAAGAGCGGATGTATGTACATGTAGAGAATTCATTCTGCTGTACACCTGAAACTAATACAACACTGTAAATCAACTATATGCCGGTAAGAATTAATTAGAACAAAAAACAAAACATAATGCCTAAGCAATTGGCTGTCTGAGGAGGCTTTACAAATAATTGTGAAAAGAAGAGAAGTGAAAAGCAAAGGAGAAAAGGAAGGATACACCCATCTGAATGCAGAGTTCCAAAGAATAGCCAGAAGAGAGAAGAAAGCCTTCCTCGGTGATCAATGCAAAGAAACAGAGGAAAACAATAGAATGGGAAAGACTAGAGATCTCTTCAAGAAAATTAGAGATACCAAAGGAACATTCCATGCAAAGATGGGCTTGATAAAGGACAGAAATGGTATGGACCTAACAGAAGAAGAAGATATTAAGAAGAGGTGGCAAGAATACACAGAAGAACTGTACAGAAAAGATCTTCACGACCCATATAATCATGAATATGTGATCACTCACCTAGAGCCAGACATCCTGGAATGTGAAGTCAAGTGGG